ATGTACCTTTATCTTTAGAGGCCCAGGCGGAGGCTCGTTTACTTATGTTTTCTCATATGAATCTCTTGTCTCCAGCTATTGGAGATCCCATTTCCGTACCGACTCAAGATATGCTTATTGGGCTCTATGTATTAACGAGCGGGAATCGTCGAGGTATTTGTGCAAATAGGTATAATCCATGTAATCGAAGAAACTATCAAAATGAAAGAATTGACGATAATAACTATAAGTATACAAAGGATCCCTTTTTTTGTGATTCTTATGATGCAATTGGGGCTTATCGGCAGAAAAAAATCAATTTAATGCTTACGGAATGGAAAGCTAGGACGAAAGGGCCAGCATCAGACATAGGGACTACGGGATATACGTAATAGCCGGACTAAGAGATTCTAAAAACTAGTAAAGAAAAGGCCCCTTCCACGACTAAGAAAGTTGGCAATGGGGATAGACCTGAAGCCTTCGCTTTTACGGAATACGGGAGAGTACGGTAGTAATGGGCGGAAGAAGGGGACTACAGGTACTGCTACACTACCTGGAGGGTAATTAGCTGGAAGGCTGTAAGAGAAATGGCAGAGGGGGACCTAACTCGCTCGGGATATACTTTTTGAGAAGAGAACTCGGGATACTGCAAGGGCGATAGACAGACCACAAGGTAGAACAAATGTCAAGGAAGAGTCAAGCTACTTCCTTAAAGGCACTCCCCACAATAGAGGAACTCCCAATGCCAGAAAGAAGGGCAGCAATTATCCCATCCCTACTCCTGCGTATAAGGGACTTAAGGACAAGGCCAGGAACGAAGACAATCGCAAGGGAACTTCTATCGAAATCAAATGGCCCTTTCATTTCTATTTTTTGGATTTGTTTTGACCTTTTAGAATGCGTAAGCACAATCTTCTTATTACACGTTAACACATTCTTATACTTAAACGTAACCAAGGAAAGGAGTAACTATGTGGAGGCGAGGCCTCTCGATTCGCTCAGATGGGTCACCATTAAAGGGCTGGATTTGAACTAGATGGTACTATCACTTGATTCAGCTTGATCTGATCCCTCTTCTGCTTTCCACCGTTCGATGACCTTCTTCCATACCTTTTCAATTAAATATAGCTCCCTCGATTGAATAAATGAAAAGAACGGAAAAAAGAGTAACATTTTTCGATTACTCTAATCCACTTTAGCTAACGGAAGCACAGAACGATAAAAGGGATCGATAAGCCTTTGCACATGAGAAGAGGATTAGACTGAACGGGAATAACCCCGGAGGGAATGAAGATGGCATTGAAGGGGCAGTTGTTGGAACAGCTTTAGCGGGAGCTGCTGCTAGTCTTTTCGACCATGAATCTCTAGAAGGGCTTACAAGAAGCCGAGAATCCGACTCCCAAGCATCCGAGATGCGAAAAGAAAAAGGCACCTTTCCCTAAGCCATTTTAAGTAGACAGGGATAAGGACAAGTGGCTCGCTACCGAGCTCGATGCTTTGAATAGGACCCACGGGGCGGTAATAGAAGATGCAGCAAAGAAAGAGGAAAGGTTGGCAGTGAAGTTAGCTCGATCCCTTCTGCCTTATGACTTCAAACATCTGCGCAGGTATCTCAAGGATTCGCCAATTTGGTGACATCTAAGCCAGCTATCTTTGCAAAAAACGACTCTTTCTACGGCTCCTCAAGGAGAAGCGCAAGTCCAGACGAATCTTTTTCTGTTTGGGAAGCTAACCGTAAAGCGTCTGCTCTTGCTTAGCTGCTACCAGATCATCTCTTGTCACCCATCATCGGTCGTGAATCGGGTCGGGGACACATATCGATATGTCAGTGACGCAGCGGTTGAACAGTCCACCTGGTGATTATCTTTCGGCTATCCCACCTTTTGATCCAGTTCTGCTATCCCATTCCTAATAAAAAAAAAGGGGTCTATCGGACGATGTGATATGATAGTCCGCAGTCTCGTCCTCGTGTATCGTCCGCTTGTTTCATTCCTTGCCCCCTTTCTCGGTGAAGCAGAGTGAATAGCTTCAGTAGTTCAATTTCTCTAGCCTGCAGGAGTTCCGGTTAGAGTGTTTGCTAAGGCTAGTTCTCTTCCAGGTCTTTTGAAAGGGAAAGGACTTCTGCCTTCCTTCTTTTTGAATTATGCTTTCTCGTCAGGCGCTGTCGTAGGAGTCTCAGTCTAATTAGTTGATAGAGCAATTGCTACTATTGTATCACGAGTAGGAGTTCCCCGGATGGGGATTGAGTACATGGATAGGGGGTAGTAGTTTCCATCCAGCCAGTGTTAGTTTACAGTCAGCCAGAAGCAAGCATAATGACGACATGGATTCTACGCCAGAAGGAAGCTAGTTGGAAAGCTGGAGTCTTTCTCCTTTCAAGGGCGCAGTTACTCAAGCAAGAGAGAGAAGTCAAATGAGAACCTTGACTTTCAGTTCCTTTTTTCTAACTTAAGGGGATAAGATGCCATCTCCTTACCAGTACTTCTCAAAGTCTATAGCTCTGACAGCCAGTTCATTTGCTTCTGCCTTTGATGTACCAGGTCTTGGACTTTCTTTCCTTTCAGCAGTCTCTTTGAAGCCAGCCATTGCATTTGGAGGTCCCTTGCTTCTCTTTCTGCTCCTAGGAAGAGCAGCTGCTATCTCGGCTGTTGGAGAAAAAGAGTCAGCCTCTCCAGTTCTAGTAGTTGCCTTTGCTTCTGCTTTCCCTTCTTAAGAAGCCTACCGAGCGTAAGAGCTAGGAAGCTAAGTAGCTAAGTAAGGAGGACTGTCTAGTCAGTCTTACGTCCAGCCAGTGCAAGCCCTCTTCATTCCATTACAAATGTAGCAAGCCGCTTGAAAGTCAGTGCAGTTATTACGCTTAGGATAGCCGAAACGAGTAGGCTGGTTGGTTATAGATCAAAAGCCAGTTCTAGCTCAACCTAAAAAGCTCTTTCTGGGGCAAGCTTTTCGATTATGAATTTCTTGCCGAGCCTGTTGCAGGGACGGATCCCAGACATCTAGAGTTCGCTTACTCAAGTGAGAGTTCCCTATCTTTTAAGAATTTGAGGAGTCAAGTTCATAATCTTTTTCAAGCTATCGAACAATAGGAAAAGCAAAGTAAAGCGTTAGGGCAAGCGCAAATCTCTATCCAGTTTTCAATCCAGCAGGTATAGCAGGTTGACTAGCCATTGATCTAGTTATAGAACTAGTTAACTAGTTTGAATGCTAGTTTCCAGTAATTCAATTGCAGAAAAAGAAAAAGGATAAGATCTTTCAAGGCGAGCTCCTTGACCTGCGGTTTCAGTTGGACTCCCTAGAGATTTCTTTTCATGAGAGGGTCTAGGATTACTATCATAGGCTTATGGAGAGGTGCGGAGCGGAGATTAGCGCTTTCTTTCATTTAGCCCAAGAAGGCAGGCTACTGATTAGCAAGATGAGCAGAAAACCAGACGGGGAGATATTTTCTTTAAATAATATTCGATTTCTTTATAAAAGTTTCAAATCCTTCCTCCGAGGGGAAATGGTAATAAAGAATGGCTTTCTTCAGTCTTGATTGCAGAAGGCAGCTTACCTTACTCCGCTGTTGGTGGTCTAGTAAGGTTTCCTCCGATTCGAAAACAAAGCGCTAGGCCGGGATCGGATAAAAAGCAAAAGTATAGCGCGCAGTAGCCCATTTCATGATACGGAGAGAACCATTGGATATGAGTCAAAATCCTTTCACCGAGCGTGTGGCATTAAGAGCCCCTTGGAATCCTTCCTCATCAAGAGAAGAGATCCACTCATGCATAGCTTCGACTAATAATTCTAATAGAAGGGAGTCTTCTTTTTCGAAGTAGCCCTAGGTTCCGATCCACCATCGGTGAGACCCCTCTTGCTTAAGTACTGGGTCTCTTCACTAAAATAAAGAACTCGTTGAGACTTGGTCCATTGTTAGGATAACCTCGTCTCTCCCTCTTTCACCTCAAGGTATGGTTTGGGCCCTGGGGTGGTGCAGGAGTAACTCGATAAGATCAATAAGATTCAATAAAAATGGAATCCTTCCGTATAGTAGACTACCGACCTTTATTAGCCAACCTCTTCGATTGATCAAGTTGAGACAAGCAAACTATGTATGGCTGGGGGTTAGACACGAGGGACTTTAGAAGACTACACCTAAGATGGAACAGGCACCTGCGAAATTCCAACTCCTGCTGACATCTTATTGACCCGGCGGGTAATAGGGAGAAGGACTTCGACTGAGATTCTTGAAACATTCAGTGCGCTTTCGTCCCCAGCCACAACTATTTTATTATTTTTATCCGCCCACTTCTTCATCTTCTTGGCCGCCTTTACCAAGTATGATTTGGCCACTCGTCGAGAAACTTGACGCATGCCCGATAGACGAATCTGATTCTGAAGGAACTAGAGCCGTGATGCTCGAGACTATGGGTGACCAAGTTCAAGCAATAGTAGAGGAATTTTCCGCCGCGCTGCGCCCGGAATCCTCGAACAATCTCATGATTAATACTGCGGCTCCAACAGGCACCCAGGCCAAAAATAGGTTGCAGAACTTGTCGCCCTCCCTCCAGACAAAAGCATGGCCTCAGGCTCTGGCCAGACAGGCCTCGAAGATGAAGCCCACGAAGCGATTTTTGAACTTCCAGGCAGAGAGACTCTGGACAGCACGAGCGGACCGTCAGATAATCTTCCAGCGAATGCATCAAACATTGGGGATACCACGACGCCATCCGAGCCCTCAGATTGCTAATGATGATTCTTATTTAAAGGCGGAAAAAAACCAGGGTGAAAAATGCATATTTCTGAACGGAAGAACTGTCATGTTCGGTTGGTGAACTCAAAGTAAAAGGCCAAAAGGACGAGCAAGAGTTGGTCATTCAAGAAGCTTTGGCTAGCCTGCTTGACTTATGGAAAAAGAATAGAAGGAAGGGTCCATCCGTTTAAGAAAGGAAAGAAGGTCCTGGCTTCTTGCAGTAAGGAAAGCATTCCAATAGCAGCTGATGAAACTATAGCACGAACAGCTACCTCCTCAGGACACTCCCTTTAAAGACGTTAGCAATCAAATCACAGCTGAGTCAACCAAAGCAAGAACAGCGCCTTCGCCAGCTTTGATTAGGACTTTCTCCGGCTACGGCTACAGAGCCATCTAAATGCTACTTCTACTTTGCGTAAGACTTTTCATTCGATTTTCACTACTTCGAATTTCTTTCAGCTACTCCGGACTCTTTAAAGGCCTTGAGCCTGCCCCAAAAGAATTGAATCCGGAAGTCACGGAACTCCCTTTACCACTCCTCTTTCTTGGCCGCCCGCTTTGCTATGCGTCTACTCTGCCTTGGTGCGTGCACCAGAGCAGCTTATCGTGAGAATTCCACTCAGCTCCTACATCAAATCCTTCCTCCTCCGTAGTTCACGTTCATAGAGGGCAAACGAAGACTCCAGGTCACTGAAACGAACACAAGGCTTTAGCAAGCCACCCAATGTAGGACGAATTACCTCCCATCCGTTCTAGCTACTCCACACTGGCCTTAAAAGCGCCTACTTTTCTTTCTTCACAGAGATGTAGAAAGTTTGATTGAATTGCGTATAGAAAGAGAGACATGCTTTGTTTTGTAAACAGGGGACATAGACCCTTCCTCGGAGACTTGCCCCCGCCCGACCCAATTCCAATTCAAGTTCTTATTCACTGGAAATGCTGAAGTTTGAGCTTGTGTTTTCCTGTCTTCTCTGCCTCCACCTTATTTGCTGGAGGGAGGATACGATTGTCGAAGCTGAAGCAATTCCCGAATAATAGAGATTGGCTGTTCTGCTAGCTCTTGAAAGAGTTGGATTTGGTTACTTGTTGGACTAAGCTGGGGTCGTGCATGAAAGGGAACTAAGACTGAAATTAGGCACACTCCCACTCCAATTTCGGGACTTCTCCTTAGACTTTGACTCTTACTACTAGAATGTAACCATGGGATCTCCTTCAACTGATAATTCCCCGCTTTATAACCCAACACGATCATAAGTAAGTGCAGGAGAAAGCTCCGGACAAAAGAGTTTTTGAAAGATCTACTAGCCGGTCGTCTGGATATTATCCTCGCTGCTTGCTTGCCGAATAGTCCCTCGTCCTTCTTGCGCTTGAAGCATATAACGGCTGGCAGGCATAAAGGCTCTTGGAGTGCGCTTTCAACGCGTAAAATGATGTAAAAATAAAAAGACCTACATTCCTTTCCCTTTCCCCTTCTTGGGTGAACCTGTCCCATTGCCCGAATCCAGGAATGGTGATGTCTCGTCCTGACATGGTTTACCTTCTCTAAAACGGCTTTAATGGAATATGCCTAGGGCAGAGAAAGGTAAGTTTATCTAGCCCGATAGGCAAAGACCTTAAGAGAGGGCACTTCGTTTCGTGGCTTAAACGGCTCTATTTTCACTATGCTCCACCGTTAGAGAAGAAAGGAATAAAATGAATATAGACCCCACGAACAACTAGAAACCATCCGGTTCGGAAGTGGCCTCCTCATGTTGCAAACGATTGCTGCTAATAAATAGATTTCGGGTATATATGAACAAATCATAAGGATAGAGCTCGAGAGGGGAATAGCTCTCATCATACCTGAAAGATTGCGAAATCTGGTGTACTCAAGAATATACGAGGGTTTATGCAATCGCATATGGAGGGGATGGGAGTACGAGGCACTATATGACTACATATACGGAGTAATAGCTAATATAGATGCTATGAATTATGCGATCTGCTCGGGCTTTCATATCTGGTATGGGTTAATACCCAGCATTATGATATCTTTAGGGTGTTATGATATTTATGACATCCTAAGCCCAGAGGTGGTCAACTCCACACGAAATTGGTCTGCCTCGATGATCCAGATGGCCACTGAACTATGCACAAATTCGATGAACGTAATCATGCAGGACACCGGGAGAACGCTCCAAACCGATGGGGACATCACATTGGGGGTAGGGACCAGCCCAGAGACGGGACCCTTCGACCCTCTCGGGATCAGAGAAGAGGAAAAGGAAATAAGAGTAGGAGGAATACATAAAGTAGTACTAATTAAAGTAGTGAGTGTCTGCCTCGCAACTTGTCTATTGAGCACTATTTCCTATACAACTGTCTGCGGAACTATGTAAACAATTTGATAATGTTCCATCATAAAAAGAGAGCTTAGACAGGTGAACAAAGACAGAAAGTCTTAGATATGTCGGATCTTAAGAGGGTGAAGAAAGGAACCTCGCCGACCCTTCATAACTGCTAGACCCACTCTCAATCGTTCGAAACATGGTAGGCATAGGTATAGGTAGATCTATGTCTGGATTATATCCGTTCTTTTTGGTATGCTCTTCCGCAAGTTAAAGGAAGAATAGAATAGTTTATTGATATAATCATGATTCGTTGGTCTATTAAAAATATTCTTTTTTATCGAAGTAATAAGGATAATTGCAATTCTCCGAGTTCGTCTTCTAGTTTTCCGAGTTCGTCTTCTAAATTTCCTATCATTTCTAAATATCCTAGCATTAGAGGGCACACATCTACTCACATATCATGCAACAATTATCATGGTTGGTTTAATGCCAGGTCATTTCTTGAAGTACAGGATAATCCTATCTTCTTACCCTTTGAGTTTGGGAAGAAAAGCTGTCGTAAAGTAATTCAATCTACTGAACGCGGGCTTCGGGATATCATCGACAGGGAAGGACAAAGAAAAGAGCCATTCATTCTAAATAAATCATTGTCAATCCGTCTCACTCCCATTCATACTTCATCCTCTCTTGCTAATACGGAAAGACTCACTTATTTACTTTCAGCTCTTTCAATCTCCTTTGCTATGAAATATGGTTTCATCCTCGACTTACATTCTTTAGTTGATATATATGGTAGATAGTATAGTGCAAGGTATCCATTCATCCGATGTAGTACCTGTTGATGAAGTCGAGCGCTTCTACGACTGTTTAGAGGATGTCGAGGACACTACAAGAAGTGCGGATACCTCTAACGAGGATGAGACCCGAAAGCAAGGGCTAATCCTTCTAGTCGGTAGCATTCTCTTAATCAGTCTCTTGTTTGCATCTGCTGGTATGAAATCGTAGAGCTCTTATGGCATTGTCTTATTATGTGCGATGAATTCCCTCTTTACTAAAATTAAGGGTACCCCGAAAAAGGAGTCCATAGCTTCCTTGGGGCGGTGGCAAAATCCGATGAACGCAGAGCTCATGAAGCATCCCTTCTGGTGCGGCAAAGGAGCAAACGCGGTTAAAGTCACCAAAACTCTAATCGGGATGGATCCCTTCCATTTATAAGGTTATCCAAGGAAGACAACTGTTGCCAGAAAACAGCTTTAACCTCAGTAGTTCATTAAGTTGTATTGTTAAGAAAAATATCGTTTTGCCAGATAGAAGCCTATCCTCGTTTACTTGTTTGCAGGTTTCCCCATACCGTGCAGGTTTAGCTTTTTGTTCGCCTCTTTCGATGGAAGAATTTATGTCTACATTCGCTCTTATCGCTACTCCGTTACTTATGGGATTGTTCGTATGGATTAATTTTCTACCAGAGAGTGTGCCAATATCCAATATCTTGCCCGTATTCGATATAGACTCTCTCTGGCTGGCTCTATCTTCTAGTCATGAAGTAAGAAATAGCGCTGGCTGTGACAATATTCTTCAGCAGGCTAGCTGCCAATTGGCTAGAGCACCCGAGGTAACAGCTATAGATGATGAAATAGCGGATGTCCAATCAACTAGTGCCGCTAGGATCATCACACCCTTGGCTGGAGCTGTCGCCCTTAACATTATGGGGAATGAGGAAAGAAAAAGTCAAAAATGGAATTTTACCAACTCCGCTACTACACTCGTTCAAGTCAAGTCAAGATAAAGGAGTGGGGTGGGAAGTTCAATTCTTTTTCCTCTTGGAATTAATAATATTATGCGACTTTGGGACCAGTAAGAATAAGGGACCTAACCGCTGCTATTGCATCAGAAGCATCGAATTCCTATTTCCCAGAAGAAAAAGACTTTCTCTTGCTCTCGGGAATGGGAATAGCAGGAATGGCTGTTACTGGTACGAAGGCTAAGGGGTACTGAGATTACAGAGACAAAATGACTTGCCCGAGATTGCCTAAAGACTCAAACAACAACAGCTGACCCCTTTCACCTAGATGTCCTCTTTTTCTCTCCAACCAATCGGGATCGGATTCCAAGACCGGGGTGCAAGGGCAATACATCAGTTAAGACGCTGTAAACGTGGCTAGTCTCTGAAAATGCCCGTACCTGGGGAACAAATCTTCTTTCTTCGAGGCCTCAGATCATAATAGAGTCCATCGGTAGGAAGGTAATGCAGCTAAGCCGAGACTTCTTTCTGAGGCATTTCTGACTTTACTTGCTGTTGCCGATATGATCTTTTCTCTTGTTGAAGAAGTGGAGTTTGCTGCTATCGTAGATAAGAGTGACGGAATTGATAGAGATTCAGCCCCTAGAAACGCTAGCCTTCCTTGGCTTGGGTTGATTGCTTTTCAATGCCTAGTTTCGTAGCCAAGCAAAGGGAATCACCTTCTGACCTGACCTTCGACCTTGAGGGTGGCAATCTAGCTTCTGTTGAAAAAGCAAGGTGCGGGGCGTCGGCATTACACACACGGTTAAGCACATTTTATGAGCCTTTTGTCTTCAATTTTATAAGCATCCCCGCAACTTAATAGAATCAAGAAGAGAAGAGAGCTCCCCAGATAGGATTCGAACCTAGCAACGGTCAGGCAGCAACCGACCATCCTACCACCAAGGGTGGAGAACAAATAAAAACGATATAAACACGGGGTCAGCACAACACGAAAAACTTTTTCCCTCACCCTATTTCCTTTTGTTTTTCACATCATAAAGGTCTAGGAATGCGAGTCGGCAAAAGAATGGATTAAGGTGTAAGACATCAATTAGCCTGATATTCTACATCGAAGAACCTAATGGATTTATAAGTACGAGGAGGAAGCGAATGCGCTCTTTTGGGACAGCTTTCAATAGAACATGGAGCTCTGCCCTTCTGGCTGTACTAACGAGGAAAGGCACTTCACTGCCTTAATCCCTTAAACGGAACAGTTAATCGTATAGCAGGAGGAATTACAGCTTTCTTTCTGTCTGCTAGTCAGGAATGGAATCTGACGCTACGAATACGAAGGGGGGATTTATCGAATAATTATTAGACAAATAGGGCACTAGAACGCTATTCTTCCTCCTTCCCCGCTTAGGCTTTAGAGGCTTAGGACATTAGCTGTAAGACTTCCAACCATTAGCAAGGTAGCAAAAGAAGTAGCAGCAGTGGAAGTCAAAGTAGTTATAGCAGAATCATTGGCACGCTAGGCCCCTTCTCTAAGAGAAAATAGGGCGGGCTGTCTACTTGAAAGGACATCTGAGATGGCATCAAGCCGAGCACAAAAGAGATCTGGGCAGCTAGTAAGGAGGACTGTGAAGCCTTCTAGCATAGGTGATGCCTCCCCGGGAAGGCATTTTCAACCCGGCTCTCTTCCTGTCAGTTAGTGGTACTGGCTTTGACGCCACAAGTCTGTATAGTTTGTGCATTTTGCCCAGCTCTGTGCTGTAAATAATATAGCTGATGGCGCGGACTCAGATTATGTAGACGAGATCACAGAATCGAAGGA